TTGTGCTTGTGTGTGAGGCAGTTCAGTGTGCTTGTGTGTGTGAGTTGCAGTTCATTGTGCTTGTGTGTGTGTGGCAGTTCATTGTGCTTGTCTGTGTGGCAGTTCAGTGTGCTTGTGTGTGTGGCAGTTCATTGTGCTTGTGTATGTGACAGTTCATTGTGCTTGTGTGTGTTGTAGTTCATTGTGCTTGTGTGTGTGGCAGTTCATTGTACTTGTGTGAGTTGTATTTCAGTGTGCTTGTGTGTGTGGGGCAGATCATTGTGCTTGTGTGTGTGGGGCAGTTCATTGTCCTTGTGTGTGTGGCAGTTCATTGTACTTGTGTGAGTTGTATTTCTGTGTGCTTGTGTGTGTGAGGCAGTTCATTGTACTTGTGTGTGTGGGGCAGTTCCTTGTGCTTGTGTGTGTGTGGCAGTTCATTGTGCTTGTGTGTATGGCAGTTCATTGTGCTTGTGTGTGTGGCAGTTCATTGTGCTTGTGTGTGAATCAGTTCATTGTGCTTGTGTGTGAGTCAGTTCAGTGTGCTTGTGTGTGGGGCAGTTCATTGTGCTTGTGTGTGTGGCAGTTCATTGTGCTTGTGTGTGAGGCAGTTCATTGTGCTTGTGTGTGTGGCAGTTCTTTGTGCTTGTGTGTGAGGCAGTTCAGTGTGCTTGTGTGTTAGGCAGTTCATTGTGCTTGTGTGTGAGGCAGTTCATTGTGCTTGTGTGTGAGGCAGTTCAGTGTGCTTGTGTGTGGGGCAGTTCATTGTGCTTGTGTGTGTGGCAGTTCATTGTGCTTGTGTGTGAGGCAGTTCATTGTGCTTGTGTGTGAGGCAGTTCATTGTGCTTGTGTGTGAGGCAGTTCAGTGTGCTTGTGTGTTAGGCAGTTCATTGTGCTTGTGTGTGTGGCAGTTCATTGTGCTTGTGTGTGTGGCAGTTCATTGTGCTTGTGTGTGAGGCAGTTCATTGTGCTTGTGTGTGAGGCAGTTCATTGTGCTTGTGTGTGAGGCAGTTCAGTGTGCTTGTGTGTTAGGCAGTTCATTGTGCTTGTGTGTGTGGCAGTTCATTGTGCTTGTGTGTGTGGCAGTTCATTGTGCTTGTGTGTGTGGCAGTTCATTGTGCTTGTGTGTGAGGCAGTTCATTGGTCTTGTGTGTGTGGCAGTTCATTGTGCTTGTGTGTGAGGCAGTTCATTGTGCTTGTGTGTGTGGCAGTTCATTGTGCTTGTGTGTGAGGCAGTTCATTGTGTTTGTGTGTGTGGCAGTTCATTGTGCTTGTGTGTGTGGCAGTTCAGTGTGCTTGTGTGTGGGGCAGTTCATTGTGCTTGTGTGTGGGGCAGTTCATTGTGCTTGTGTGTATGGCAGTTCAGTGTGCTTGTGTGTGTGGCAGTTCATTGTGCTTGTATGTGGGGCAGTTCATTGTGCTTGTGTGTGTGGCAGTTCAGTGTGCTTGTTTGGGTGGCAGTTCAGTGTGCTTGTGTGTGGAATTCAGGTCCGAAAGCCTAAAGATAGCGGTTGTCAGTGTGTGTCCAAACTGATAACACAAGTTATAACTAATTTTGTATTTGATAGTTTGAACAACAAGTTAATTTTGATTGGAAAGGAAGAATATGCTGTCATGGATATAAATTGTGGCCAAAAAATTAAATGGAAAATGATGTATATTAAAATTGCGCTTGAAAAAGTAATGAATGAATATATAGGGATCACTAGCAGGCAGCACTAGCAGGGAGCACTAGTAGTGGACAGGGAGCACTAACAGAAGACAGGAAGCACTAGCAGTAGACAGGGAGCACTAACAGTAGACAGGGAACACTAGCAGTAGACAGGGAGCACTAACAGTAGACAGGGAGCACTAGCAGTGGACAGGGAGCACTAACAGTAGACAGGGAGCACTACCAGTGGACAGAGAGCACTAGCAGTGGACAGGTAGCACTAGCAGTTGACAGGATGCACTAGCAGTGGAGAGGGAGCACTAGCAGTAGACAGGAAGCACTAGCAATGGACAGGGAGCACTAGCAGTAGACAAAGAGCACTAGCAGTGGACAGGGAGCACTAGCAGTAGACAGGAAGCACTAGCAGTAGACAGGGAGCACTAGCAGTGGACAGGGAGCACTAGCAGTAGACAAAGAGCACTAGCAGTGGACAGGGAGCACTAGCAGTAGACAGGAAGCACTAGCAGTAGACAGGGAGCACTAGCAGTGGACAGTGAGCACTAGCAATGAGAAAGAGCACTAGCAGTGGACAGGGAGCACTAGCAGTAGACAGGGAGCACTAGCAGTGAACAGTGAGCACTAGCAATGAGAAAGAGCACTAGCAGTGGACAGGGAGCACTAGCAGTGGACAGGGAGCACTAGCAGTGGACAGGGAGCACTAGCAGTGGACAGGGAGCACTAGCAATGAGAAAGAGCACTAGCAGTGGACAGGGAGCACTAGCAGTAGACAGGGAGCACTAGCAGTGGACAGGGAGCACTAGCAGTGGACAGGGAGCACTAGCAGTGGACAGGGAGCACTAGCAGTAGACAGGGAGCACTAGCAGTGGACAGGGAGCACTAGCAGTGGACAGGGAGCACTAGCAGTGGACAGGGAGCACTAGCAGTGGACAGGGAGCACTAGCAGTGGACAGGGAGCACTAGCAATGAGAAAGAGCACTAGCAGTGGACAGGGAGCACTAGCAGTGGACAGGGAGCACTAGCAGTGGACAGGGAGCACTAGCAGTGGACAGTGAGCACTAGCAATGAGAAAGAGCACTAGCAGTGGACAGGGAGCACTAGCAGTGGACAGGGAGCACTAGCAGTGGACAGGGAGCACTAGCAGTGGACAGGGAGCACTAGCAGTGGACAGGGAGCACTAGCAGTCGACAGGGAGCACTAGCAGTGGACAGGGAGCACTAGCAGTGGACAGGGAGCACTAGCAGTGGACAGGGAGCACTAGCAGTGGACAGGGAGCACTAGCAGTGGACAGGGAGCACTAACAGTGATCAGGGAGCACTAGCAGTAGACATGGAGCACTAACAGTGGACAGGGAGCACTAGCAGTAGACATGGAGCACTAACAGTGGACAGGGAGCACTAGCAGTGGACAGGGGGCACTAACAGTGGACAGTGAGCACTAACAGTGATCTGGGAGCACTAACAGTAAGCAGGGAGTACTAACAGTGAGCAGGGAGCACTAGCAGTGGACAGTGAGCACTAGCAGTGGACAGGAAGCACTAGCAGTAGACAGGGAGCACTAGCAGTAGAGAGGGAGCACTAACAGTGAGCAGGGAGCACTAACAATGAACAGGGAGCACTAGCAGTAGACAGGGAGCACTAACAGTGAGCAGGGAGCACTAGCAGTGAGCAGGGAGCACTAGCAGTGGACAGGGAGCACTAACAGTGAGCAGGGAGCACTAGCAGTGGACAGGGAGCACTAGCAGTGAGCAGGGAGCACTAGCAGTGATCAGGGAGCACTAACAGTGAGCAGGGAGCACTAGCAGTGGACAGGGAGCACTAGCAGTGATCAGAGAGCACTAACAGTGAGCTGGGAGCACTAGCAGTGATCAGGGAGCACTAACAGTGAGCAGGGAGCACTAACAGTGGACAGGGAGCACTAGTAGTAGACAGGGAGCACTAGCAGTAGACAGGGAGCACTATCAGTGAGCAGGGAGCACTAACAGTGAGCAGGGAGCACTAGCAGTAGACAGGGAGCATTAACAGTAGACAGGGAGCACTAGCAGTGGATAGGGAGCACTAGCAGTGAGCAGGGAGCACTAACAGTGAGCAGGGAGCACTAACAGTGAGCAGGGAGCACTAGCAGTGAGCAGGGAGCACTAACAGTGAGCAGGGAGCACTAGCAGTGAGCAGGGAGCACAAGCAGTGAGCAGGGAGCACTAACAGTGGACAGGGAGCACTAGCAGTAGACAGGGAGCACTAGCAGTGGACAGGGAGCACTAGCAGTGATCAGAGAGCACTAACAGTGAGCAGGGAACACTAACAGTGAGCAGGGAGCACTAACAGTGAGCAGGGAGCACTAACAGTGAACAGGGAGCACTAACATTGAGCAGGGAGCACTAACAGTGAGCAGGGAGCACTAACAGTGAGCAGGGAGCACTAGCAATGAGCAGGGAGCACTAACAGTGAGCAGGGAGCACTAGCAGTGAGCAGGGAGCACTAGCAGTGAGCAGGGAGCACTAACAGTGGACAGGGAGCACTAGCAGTAGACAGGGAGCACTAGCAGTAGACAGGGAGCACTAGCAGTGAGCAGGGAGCACTAGCAGGGAGCAGGGAGCACTAGCAGTGAGCAGGGAGCACTAGCAGTGGACAGGGAGCACTAGCAGTGAGCAGGGTGTACTAGTAGTGAGCAGGGTGTACTAGCAGTGAGCAGGGTGTACTAGTAGTGAGCAGGGTGTACTAGTAGTGAGCAGGGTGTACTAGTAGTGAGCAGGGTGTACTAGTAGTGAGCAGGGTGTACTAGCAGTGAGCAGGGTGTACTAGCAGTGAGCAGAGTGTACTAGCAGTGAGCAGGGTGTACTAGTAGTGAGCAGGGTGTACTAGTAGTGAGCAGGGTGTACTAGTAGTGAGCAGGGTGTACTAGTAGTGAGCAGGGTGTACTAGTAGTGAGCAGGGTGTACTAGTAGTGAGCAGGGTGTACTAGTAGTGAGCAGGGTGTACTAGTAGTGAGCAGGGTGTACTAGTAGTGAGCAGGGTGTACTAGTAGTGAGCAGGGTGTACTAGCAGTGAGCAGGGTGTACTAGCAGTGAGCAGGGTGTACTAGCAGTGAGCAGGGTGTACTAGCAGTGAGCAGGGTGTACTAGTAGTGAGCAGGGTGTACTAGCAGTGAGCAGGGTGTACTAGTAGTGAGCAGGGTGTACTAGCAGTGAGCAGGGTGTACTAGTAGTGAGCAGGGTGTACTAGTAGTGAGCAGGGTGTACTAGCAGTGAGCAGGGTGTACTAGTAGTGAGCAGGGTGTACTAGTAGTGAGCACGGAGCACTAACAGTGAGCAGGGTGCGCTTTAATTCTTCCCAGGCTGACATTCTACAAGGTGCGTATGGGGACGTATTTCTTAAAAGAGCTGCAGTACCAGGGAGATGACAAGGCAGCTGAACCCTACTTGGTGGAGTACTGGCCGCTGCCCGCCATTATGGCCAGACTCGGCCACATGCATCACCAACTCCACTACCTCAAGCTGGACATTGAAGGGGCCGAGTGGGACGTGCTGGAGGAGACTGTGTTTAAGGTAGGAACTGGTAGCAACAGCTGCTAGTTAGGACCGGGTTTGATGTTATACAAGTCAAGGGTTATGAAAGGTTAAGTTGTGGGGTCTTCAATGGTTGGTTACTTTATATTCGGTCTATTTATGTCTGTTTACAAAATAATCCAATAAAATAACTTAAGATGGTAAATATTTCATTATTTTTTTTAATTTTGCCTAAGAAACCATTAACTAACCACTTTTTTGTGGGTGGAGGTTTGGAGGTGTCTTCAAAATTATAATTGACTTCAAAATCTTATTAGAAATATTGCTTTTTGTGCGCTGGTTAAGGATGAGCGCTACAAAAATGTTAAAACCTAACTACTGTTGCCCGCATAACGTCACTAGAGGAGTAACCGGCGGTGCCCGGGGTGTACCTCTCTCTCCCTACCCCCATCCCCCCCCAACCCCCCCTCCCCCCCCCCTTCCCCACCCCAAACCCCAAACCCCCCCCCCCCTCTAGCTCCCATTCCCTTCTTTCCCCATCACCTTCCCTCCTTCCTCTCCCGTTGTTCCCTGTCCCCCCCTCATCTTTCCCATCCCCCTTTCGTCGTAAAGCCTGTTCACTACATACTATCTTCGCCATAACCCTTTTCGTTATTCACTCTCTTCACTATAGCCATCTTCCTCACTATAGCCATCTTCCGTACTCACTATCGTTAATGTAACCCAGATAAATTCCATTAATTATTTTTTAGTAAATCATGAAATGTTGTAATAGAACCCATGATCACCACACCAGAACTAAATATCTCTCTGATATCCCCAGAGTCAAACAAAATCTGTCTGCACTCTCTGCAAATAAAGGGACCTAGTCCATGGAACTCCCTAACGAATTGAAAAGCTGTCCAACCTACCCCTTATTCAACAGTAAAACCAAAAAGTACCTAATTTCATCCTAGTTTTCTACCTAGTGCTTCACGCTCGCACTGTATCGTGCGCTTCCCACTCCCCTAAAATGTGCCTAAGCCATACAACTTCACCGTTGTAATCACTGCCATCATCTTATATCATGGTTGTTATATTGAACGCATATTTTACTTTTATATACTGTACCTAGAAATAAGCCAAAAATTATGCTTAACTGTACCGGTTGATAATCTTCAAATTTTACTATAATGTGCCTACCAATCTTTGTAAAATTTTCTTGCAATGTACTTGTTATTTTTTTCAATTTTGCTAGAAATTATCTATTTAAAATTATCTGTTAGATGAAGGACCTGTCTGGAACGCTATGAGTGCCTTTACAAGAATGTGCATCAGTGCCATGTACTCTCATAAACCCAATGTACTTTCTTGTGTGTGTCTGTGTGTACATTTTATATATACAGTATATTATATATATATATATATATATATATATATATATATATATATATATATATATATATATATATATATATGTGTGTGTGTGTGTGTGTGTGTGTGTGTGTACTCACCTATTTGTACTAACCTATTTGTGCTTGCAGGATCGAGCATTGACTTTTGGATCCCGCCTTTCCAGCTATCGGTTGTTTACAGCAATGACTCTTGTCCCATTTCCCTATCATACCTAGTTTTAAAAGTATGAATAGTATTTGCTTCCACAACCTGTTCCCCAAGTGCATTCCATTTTTCCACTACTTTCACGCTAAAAGAAAACTTCCTAACATCTCTGTGACTCATCTGAGTTTCCAGTTTCCACCCATGTCCCCTCGTTCTGTTATTATTGCGTGTGAACATTTCATCTATTTCCACTTTGTCAATTCCCCTGAGTATTTTATATGTCCCTATCATATCTCCTCTCTCCCTTCTTTTCTCTAGTGTCGTAAGGTTCAGTTCCTTCAGACGCTCTTCATATCCCATCCCTCGTAACTCTGGGACAAGCCTCGTCGCAAACCTCTGAACCTTCTCCAGTTTCTTTATGTGTTTCTTCAGGTGGGGGCTCCATGATGGCGCGGCATACTCTAAGACGGGTCTCACGTAGGCAGTGTAAAGCGCTCTAAAAGCCTCCTCATTTAGGTTTCTGAATGAAGTTCTAATTTTCGCCAGTGTAGAGTACGCTGCTGTCGTTATCCTATTTTGTGGGAACCGACCTGTGAGATTTATATTTATTTACTTTATATGAATTTATATAGAATTTATATTTACGTTAATTTGTATACTTCGATAGCAATTTGTATGATGTTAAGTGGACTGTATTTCTGTAATAGTCTCACAAATCGATTCTCTACACATTAGGGGGGGTTTATATTGAATTTATATATATGCAGCCAATCAAACTACAGTATTAAACTACATATATTGTTAAACATTGAAGAGGTTCCTTATCTTATTGTACAGCAGGCCTTAGTCCACCAGATATAACTAGGATGTAGACACCGAATTATCCTCTTTGAGGTAGCTTCCATCACCCTGTAACTGGTACACAAAGCATGCTTCCTCGTCTTGACCTGTCAAAAGGGCGCTAGCTATAAAGCCAGAATCCTAATATATGACAGCTATATCAGAGAAAACACTGTACATTGAACCGTAAAGACCTAGGCTTAATTACCTTTTATTAAGAGGCAGTTCGTATTCTAACCGGCTCGTCCCTATCTAATGACATTAATGGCCATAAATGTTAGATAAATGGGTTTTGGCAGAACACTTAACTTGTATTTGTTGACAGCGTGTTGATGATGGTACACCTTTGGTTTCCATAACACTTCGTCCAAGTAAAATTAACAGGAGCCGTATTAGCTCCCGTGAGCCTCTGTGGTCTAAGTACAATAACAATGGTTGACCACTCCCTCCTCACTGACGCTACTGGCCTACATTGTCCAGATGACAGTAAGTGATAGAAGGTTCACATTTACTCTATTTTAATTCTGATAATTAAGTTAATTTATATGAGATGTTTTTATGATGGTAAAGTCCAAAGACTAATGTATTTAAGAATAATTCCCACCATAATAGGTGGTGAATTTATAATAGTATGTGGTAATGATATCCCGTTTTCTATAGACGGAAATTCCACTACAAGTTACATTTTCTATGGGTTAACTTGTTTATACAACACAGCAATATTATCTGCCTGTATGATATTATTAAATGGTGTCGGATTTTCCGACATATTTATATGTGCCTCAGGAGTTAGATTAGGCATCACATCCACTCCCAGGTCTCTTTCTCGAATCGTCACAGGTAGGCTGTTCCCCCTTCATTGTCTACTGTCCCTTTGGTCTCCTATCACCTGATCCCATTTCCATAACTTTACATTTACTGGTGTTAAACTCCAGTAGCCATTTCCCTGACCATCTCTGCAACCTGTTTAAGTCCTCTTGGAGGATCCTACAATCCTCGTCTGTCACAACTCATCTCGTTAATTTTGCGTCATCCGCAAACATTGACATATATGATTCCACTCCTGTAAACATATCATTTACGTAAATTAGAAAGAGGATTGGTCCCAACACCGATCCTTGAGGTACTCCACTTGTTACTGTTCGCCAGTCCGACTTCTCGCCCCCTACCATTACCCTCTGGCTCCTTCCTGTTAGGTAGTTCTTCACCCATACTAGGGCCTTTCCGCTTACTCCTGCCTGCCTCTCAAGTTTGTATAGCAGTCTCATGTGCGGTACTGTATCAAAGGCCTTTTGGCAGTCAAGAAATATGCAGTCTGCCCAGCCTTCTCTGTCCTGCCTTATCCTTGTTACTTTATCAGAGAATTCTAAAAGGTTTGTTAGGCATGATTTCCCTGTCCAGAACCCATGTTGGTGCTTGTTTACAAACCCAATGCTCTCCAGGTGCTCAACAAGTCTTAGCCTAATTATTCTTTCAAGTATTTTGCAGGGGATGCTTGTCAGTGATACGGGTCTGTAGTTAAGTGCCTCCTCCCTATCACCTTTCTTGAAAATCGGTACGACATTTGCCTCCTTCCAGCAACTGGGCAATTCTCCCGACATAAGTGACTCATTAAAGATCAATGCCAGAGGTACGCTGAGAGCCTGCGCTGCCTCTTTAAGTATCCACGGTGATACTTTGTCTGGTCCAACAGCTTTATTTGCATCCAATGTTGTCAACTGTTTCATTACCTCCTCTGCTGTCACCTCTATATCTGATAGTCTTTCATCTAGGGTAATCGCTTCTAACAATGGGAGCTGCTCAGGCTCGGTTGTGAACACTCCATGGAAATTTGCATTCAGTACCTCGCAGATTTCCTTGTCTCTTTCTGTATATGCCCCTTCTGTTTTCCTCAGTCTTGTCACTTGGTCATTTACCGACATCTTCCTTCTTATATGGCTATGTAGTAATTTAGGTTGCTTTTTCGCTTTGACTGCAATATCATTCTCATAATTTCTTTCCGACACTCGTCTTATGTTAATGTAATCATTCCTAGCTCTGTTACATCTAATCCTGTTGTCCTCTGTCCTTTGTCTTCTGTACTTCCTCCACTCCCTCCTGCTTCTCACCTTTGCTTCCTGACACTGTCTATTAAACCATGGGTTATTATATTCCCTCCTGCTTTTTCCTTTATTGTTGGAATAAATCTCTCTTCAGCCTCCTTGCATTTCAATATGACTTGGTTCATCATACCTTGCACTGTTTTTCCTCTAAGTTCTTCCTCCCACTGCACTTCTCCCAGGTAGTCCCTTATCCTTCTGTAGTCCCCTTTTCTGTAATCAAGTCTCCTTTCCCGGACCTCTTGTCCTTTGGTCACAATTTTAAGCTACATCATGTAGTCAAAGACTAGGACACAATGATCACTGGCTCCTAGTGGTATTTCATGTTCCAACTGCTCGATGTCTTCTACATTCTGGTTGAAAATGAGATCTAATAGGCTGGGCGTATCCCCTCATCTTTCCCTAGTATCTTCCTTCACATGCTGTGTTAGGAAATTCCTGTCAATAACGTCTACCAGCTTCGCTCCCCATATCTCCTCCCCGCCATGGGGTGGGGGTGTGTGTGTGTGTGTGTGTGTGTGTGTGTGTGTGTGTGTGTGTGTGTGTGTGTGTGTGTGTGTGTGTGTGTGTGTGTGTGTGTGTGTACTCACCTATTTGTACTCACCTATTTGTGCTTGCAGGATCGAGCATTGACTCTTGGATCCCGCCTTTCCAGCTATCGGTTGTTTACAGCAATGACTCCTGTCCCATTTCCCTATCATACCTAGTTTTAAAAGTATGAATAGTATTTGCTTCCACAACCTGTTCCCCAAGTGCATTCCACTTTTCCACTACTCTCACGCTAAAAGAAAACTTCCTAACATCTCTGTGACTCATCTGAGTTTCCAGTTTCCACCCATGTCCCCTCGTTCTGTTATTATTGCGTGTGAACATTTCATCTATTTCCACTTTGTCAATTCCCCTGAGTATTTTATATGTCCCTATCATATCTCCTCTCTCCCTTCTTTTCTCTAGTGTCGTAAGGTTCAGTTCCTTCAGCCGCTCTTCATATCCCATCCCTCGTAACTCTGGGACAAGCCTCGTCGCAAACCTCTGAACCTTCTCCAGTTTCTTTATGTGTTTCTTCAGGTGGGGGCTCCATGATGGCGCGGCATACTCTAAGACGGGTCTCACGTAGGCAGTGTAAAGCGCCCTAAAAGCCTCCTCATTTAGGTTTCTGAATGAAGTTCTAATTTTCGCCAGTGTAGAGTACGCTGCTGTCGTTATCCTATTTATATGTGCCTCAGGAGTTAGATTAGGTGTCACATTCACTCCCAGGTCTCTTTCTCGAATCGTTACAGGTAGGCTGTTCCCCTACCTGTGTGGCTGTGTGTGTGTGTGTGTGTGTGTGTGTGTGTGTGTGTGTGTGTGTGTGTAATTACCTAAGTGTAATTACCTAAGTGTAGTTACAGGATGAGAGCTACGCTCGTGGTGTCCCGTCTTCCCAGCACTCTTTGTCATATAACGCTTTGAAATTACTGACGGTCTTGGCCTCCACCACCTTCTCACTTAACTTGTTCCAACCGTCTACCACTCTATTTGCGAAGGTGAATTTTCTTATATTTCTTCGGCATCTGTGTTTAGCTAGTTTAAATCTAGAACTTCAAGAACCTCTTGTTCTTGAAGTTCCAGGTCTCAGGAAGTCTTCCCTGTCGATTTTGTCAATTCCTGTTACTATTTTGTATGTAGTGATCATATCACCTCTTTTTCTTCTGTCTTCTAGTTTTGGCATATTTAATGCTTCTAACCTCTCCTCGTAGCTCTTGCCCTTCAGTTCTGGGAGCCACTTAGTAGCATGTCTGTGTGTGTGTGTGTGTGTGTGTGTGTGTGTGTGTGTGTGTGTGTGTGTGTGTGTGTGTGTGTGTGTGTGTGTGTGTGTGTGTGTGTGTGTGTTAATATTACACTATAAGAAAGAGCTCTTAAAGAGCACTTCTCACTGGCACCTTTCCATTACAGACAGACATACTTGAAGGTACACAACAGCTGTCCATTGAGGTACATCTAGAGGACCTGCGCCAGGGGAAGGCGAGCTCCCAGGATCACCACTCTCTACTAGCCAGTGCTGCCAAGTATCTCAGGTTGGTGATTACTACTATGTTTTAATCCTTAATTATGGTTTCCCACTATCGGGGTTTGGATGACTTTTTTCAGGCTTATTAAGATCTCCCAAGGCAGTAAGTAAAGAATTATAATGTACATTTGAGGGTTTAAATAAAGATGATGAAATTAAATCCAGTGTGCATAGTTTAAGTGGAAAGCAAATATATTGCAATTAGTCAACAGATACTGTATGTAGATAACAAAGCACTTTCTGGTTAAAATTTTTATGTAATCTTAAATGCCTTTCGCAGGATACTACGAGGTCTCCAGGCACGAGGCTTCCACCTTGCGTACTGGGAACCAAACTACAGAGGTTCAGAATTGACAACTCAGGCTGGACTAATGTTTCACGTGTTTTCTGAAACACTGTGGGTAAACCCTGGCTACCATAAACGCAGAAATTGGCCAGTTAAGGGAAAAATGCCAGAGAAGCTGTGAAATTTTTATTAGTACTGTAATCTTGACTAAGGGTATAGCTCGTGTGGTCACGAGGCCTGGAACAGACATATTAGTTCTCCTTTCCAACACTAGGTAAACCCAGGCTACCATAAATGTAGACGTTAAATGAAAAACAAATATATGCCAGAGCAGCTTCATCTTGATGCAGTGAATCATTATAATCAATAGCTTAGTACAGTACTGGTATTCCAGTTTGAAAGTGATACTAAAAACATTGGCAGGAAACAAAAAAAAAAAAAAGTCCATACTATTATGCAACTAGTCAAATGAAAAAATTAGGCTTTAGCCCATCCATATTGGCACTAAGCATGCTCAATGATTACTTAACCTCATGATTACAGATTTAACTAGTCCTGGAGTTTAGGGGAAACAAATTGGTTCTGCCTGTTTGTGTAATAGCTTTGACTGACTGCATTCGACTCCTCAGACTCATAGAATAGGTGGGTGACCAGGCCCCCCACCTGACTTGGACCAACTGTATTGGAAGATCAGGTTCCTTACCTCCAGCTGTGGTGGGGCCAAACCAAGCTTTGTCTAACCCATCAGATCATCTCCCTTCCCCTAAGGCAAGGTTGAGCAAGTCCCCACTGGTGACTACCACGTCACCTGGAGTGACAGACTTCGAGGTGATGCCCTTGTCATAGTGCGCACACATTTCCCATCATGGCTGCTACAGTCCATGACCTGCTTGGACCCATTGTCTCTCAAATACAGTATTAATATCACCTGATGGCATCTGCCCTGATGATTTGCACATGCATAGCTGACCTTATAGACTCTGTACATGTTCAGTTTATTCCCATCCAGATTGGCACATGAATCATTAAGGTTCCCTTTAAGGTGACTGCCTGCTTAGCTGTTCCCCCCCCCTCTCATTGGTGATGCTCCAGTTCAGGTTTCAAAGACCATCTTGCCAAATGCTAGCCTTGACACAATCCTTCCAACCCATGTTGAGAAGGGTGACAGAACTTTATACATTTTCAGTGGTTGTCGTCATCCCCTTAAAATACAGTAGTCAAGGTAATTTTTGATAGTCAAACCCTTCCATCTTTAGTAATTGTTACTGGTGCCAGATGTTCCTTTCAGGAATACATACATCCCCTCTCCATGCCTTTGTATTGGTTGCTGGATACAAAAATAAATTTGAGAAGACTTAATCTTCAAACCATTAAAATAGAAAACTAAGTCTTGTTTTAAAAAAAAAATCAATTTTTTTTTTACCAGTTATGTTAAGAGCAACGTTCTTTTGTAGTCATCATTTGTGTATTCAGTTAGTGAAGTTATCGGAAATGTTTAGTTGGTTATATAACGAGTGCCAGAATTCTGCAGAGCAGAATTGGTGATTAGGTGCAGACAGCAATGATGTCCTAAAAAGGTAGTGAAACTTGTACCATAAGTTTTTTTTTCTTTATAGTGTATTCAGTGAATAAACATTAAATAGAAAAAAGTATTGTACATGTGGTAATTCAAATTACAGCTTAATTATTAAAACATACGATAATTGTGATGTTCATTATATATACAGTATATATATAGTGATAACCAAAATTAAAATAAAGAGTACAAGACAATATTGCAGCATCACAATGTTGCTGTTGTCCCTAGACTCAAGAAGTGAGAACAGCAGCTGCTGGCGATGCCTTCAAAATTGCAAAGTACTTCAATCTTCCTCATGGTAGTACAGCTACTTATCATGAAGGAAAAGCTCAATATAAACAATATATATTATACATATTATTTCTCATATTCGTGACTGCTGACGCCAACATATACAATTCAGTGCTATTTACACTAGATGCTTAAAAGACAAGTTACTGGCAATGAAGTATATATCAGTCACTGTACATTGCTTTAAATAAAAAAAGAATAAGATACAGGCAACAAGTTCTCTCAAATGGCTTTGGTCCAACATCAGTTGCCTAAAATTAACTAAAATTAATTTCATAAATAAACTGATATCAAAATACTGTAAATAGTTGTCAAGTGACATGTATTTCATGTAAAACAATATTAACAATGATATTTTGTCCATTTCTTAAACAAATTTTTACAAATCTAAGTTATTATTTAATCCTAGTTAACTACTTCCTAAAGCATATAACACTATTTACAACTGGAAACAATTGTACAACTTTCAAACAACTATGAATCAGAGTCAACCTTCAAGCTTTTGGCCTAACCACACTGTTTCAACAGTGAAATACACATTTTATATATGTATACAATATGAATTTACAGTGGCAGACATGCTCATCAAAATTGGCAAGGGGTATGATGCAAAAAACCTTCTATAAGGTAAACAAAAAAAAATCTTCCCCTTCCATGTTAAATATTAGGATTAAAATTTTTTATACAATTATGAATGTTTCAAAACTGTGCCTGCAGGGATGGCAGCTAAAGCCAGAGGTCAGCTACTGCTATTACACAGCCATACAAGTAGAAAATGAACAGCAAACAACGTTGTTAATTAGGAATATGCTAAAGCAATTTGATGTTTGAAGAACTTTATGATAGATTCTGGAGATTTTGCCAATGATCCAAGTGTTGAAACCATTATCAATGGTGGTAATTGAAAATGTATTTGAAAAAATTGGATTTAAGCAGGGGAGTCAGCCAAAATCAAATCTGCTTTGGATATTGGAAGCAGCAGCATAGATACAGCACTACATAATGCTCTACTATATACACAATATGCTAACAAATTGGAAATTACCCTATACCTGCAAAATAATGAGCTTACATTTAAGAAACTTCCTAGATTGCCAAACTTTCTACACAAATTTAAAAAAAAGAAAAAGAAAAATGAAGTAACGAGAGATTGAACAGCATTAGTGTATCAAATGGGTAACGTGTCCTATTGAGAGAGGAAGTGGCAAGCAAGGTCCCTCCATGGTTTGGTAATTAAATCAATACTGATGTTTGTAAATGGCCTCCTGAAGTAAATGAAATGGCAATGTATGCAGATCATAAACTTGAGCCATTGCAGGAATCAAAAAAAGGTAGAGCTGGATGTAGCTATTGCACCCACCTAAAACCAAAGGCCTATATCAACAGAATAACATAAGTTGCATATTCAGAACAAGGCTTTCAAGAACTAAAGCAAAAAATCCTCCTTCAAAATACTACACACACTATACATTAGACCAGACCTAGAAGAAAGCTCCAGCATGCTAAAGCACAAGATGAAAATTATGTTGCGTTATCATCGGCAAGAGAAATTATTCAAACAGGCAAAGACAATTAAATCACACCATACATGAAATTTAGACAAATAGACAAAGTGAAAACAGGTAAGGGGCAATAGAATAATGGGAACATATGACATTTGAAGCATGAATGAGCCTGAATATGCAATGAGTGGCAAACAAGTTTAATGAACTTTTGAGCCAGAAGTGATGAAAGAAATTACAGTTCACAGCTCCAAGAGCAAATGATGGGATGCATAAACATACCCAAATAAAATAATTAGGAGGAGGGGCTTTTAAAAGTTGGATGCTGCTTCCAATAGATATTTAATCTCAAGCCATACATTCAGCTGTTTACGTAAGCAATATGTGGGCATGAAATTTTATCCAAAATTCGAATGCGGGAATAATCCCACAGGTTTATTAAATTCCACATTTCCAATTTTTAGGAGCTTTATGAAAACTGGAAACCAGGTGTTTGGGAAAGGAAGGGAGGGAGGGAGGGGACTCAGCATCTCAGATTTTTACATTAAGAATGATTGCAAAGAAAGATCCAAGAAAAGGAGAGTTTTATGCTGCCTGTAAGGCATGATTATTATGAAGCATTGAACTTTGCTTTACACAGATTGTACAGGAACATTACCACAATGCAAACCGAGAACCATCCATGCACAAATTATACAAGAACTGTCAAGACACGATTCATTACATTCCATTACTGTATGCCATTAGGTTCTGTAAATATCACCACCCAGTTAACACCCAAGACCCACCACAACTAGACCTGCATAACAAGAATGGCCAAGACCATCACTATCCAATCAGAAAATCAAATAACCTGAGAACTTAAAATTTGGTATACATAAGTAATCTTATGTTTCATGCATGCTCAGGTTTATTGATTTTTCTTCTAGAAATGAAATTTAACGTGATAAAGTATTGTCATGACAATGAGTAAAATGCAACCTTAACCTAACATTATACATAAACATGCTTTACAGTCAGTTAGAACCGTACTACATTTACTGTATTGTTAATTATTATTTATATTAATTACTGACAAATGAACAACGACTCAACTTCATTGCTGTAATTAAAAACATTTACAGTATATAATATAAAATACTGACGATTTACATTTTTGGGCCAGAAAATTGTTACATGCTTTATACTATTTACAAAACGAGGTATTACTTGTATCACTAATACCTAATAAACCAGAACTCTGGTAATTTGAGCATTCGTTTACAAGATGTTGCTTAATTGTGGCCTCCAAATACCACTCCATACTCTACATGGTTTACACTAATAAATGTCCTACCTTAGATATTAGCAACAAATTTCCCAAATGCTTGTTAATATAGCATTACAAATAATGGACAGAAGTCTTCTGCATGTAGAAGAACTTTCCCTGAAAAGCTGTATTTTGAAGGACAAGCATAAGGTACGATCTGTTCAGTTGCCAAGGAGGATCCACTAGCAAGCAAAATGCCCAATTAGTTGGGGCACAAAGGCGAGGCCTTCCTCAGTGCCTCGATCAGAGCTCACGAGGTAGATGCTTATGTCAGTGTGGTGTCTGAGCGAGCTACCGCTTGGATGACGTCACCTCGGCCACAACTCCATTCTTAGGATTCTGATGTGACTATCTCATTCATTACGCAAGCCTTTAGAGATTATTCTTCGAGTGCAGGGGTAGCTGTCTATTAGTCACTGTAATCGACTTAGGAATATCCTTGGAATTATTGTACACACCTAGATGTCATCACTAGGGCCAGTCTAGGAAACATACCTAGGGAAGAGATGTAACTCATTCACTGACCAAACCTCCGGATGTATCCTAGATAACCAAGTGACTTTCATTACAATTTATAAAACATCAACTTCAACGTCTACCTCTTCTGCTGCTGCCAAAATAGGAGAGAGTGAAAGCAGCTTTGAGGCACCACTGAAGAAGAGAGTATAGCAACTGGTGGCAGAGTCTGAGGATAACACACACCACACACCATACATCATTGCTAACTGTACAAGGCGGTGGAAGAAGTGCATAACGTGCATTACTTTTCTAGCTTTTGGTATATCTTCAAGATTCTCTTTCATGATATACTGCTTACAGCCTTTTTGATAGGTCTCAATATATTCATCCCAGTCAAGATCATCTACATCAAAATGAAATATTTCTTTGTCAGCAGGAGAAAGTGTGTCCCACAGGCACTGAGTCTGCGTATTGTGGAAGACCCAATCTCGAAGCATGAAGTACTCCAAAGCACTGACTGCCTTTACCATCCGGTTGCACAGTTTCACAGCACTGAAATACATTAAGCAGATTAAAGCCATAATTGATAAAATCATTCTAGTATTCTTCTAACATTCAAATGTTGGTTTTACAAACTAAATAAACAAACCACAAAGTGGCAGAAACTTTCAGTACAGTATACAAAATTCACTTTCTCCCAATAAAAGCCACCAAATTAAAATAAAATTCACTAGAGACGGTATAATTAATCATCAACATTGATGAATAAACTACTCTATCAAATTCAGTAAGAATAACGCTTGCAAATAAAATCACAGTAGCACAAACTTAAATGGCCAATACAGTAGACTATTCAAATTCTTTACTCGTTTCTTAATCTACTCATTTAAAAAAAACAAAGCTGGCAGTTTAAAATTACCATAAAAAATAATTAAAAAAATACTCTCTAGCACCAGCTGTAATACAGCATTACTGTACCCTCCAATAAATTACAACCCCAACCCTGGAGACCAATATATAAACTGCCCACATTACCTCCCATTATTGTAACCTACTTTCCTGGGAGTTTCACTTTTGTGCCATTACTGGTGTTGAGCCTACACCTTATTGCATTAAGTAATGAAAGAATGTCTTAAAGTGTCCAACAATGGTTTCCTGCCCTGAGACAGTCTGAAGAGAAGTCCTGGGACCTGCTGTGTTGGCTGATCAACTATCTACTAAACTATTTTTTTAATCACTGGAAAAGGATTAAAAGTGTGGAAAATACTCAAGATTGGTAATATAGTAATATCACCGATATCTTCAAGAAAACCATAAAAAATGCAGCCAGAAACTACAGACCAAACTTCACATGGCAATCACTTCCCTTTGACAATCCTTACGGAAATTATCTACAAACCCTCGTGCACAATCTTTTAAAACCATCACACTACATAGTTTCTTTAACAAATTATGACTAATAAACCTGATCATTTATGGAATGATTAATAAAATACATCTTGTAAAACAAGATTAAATTATTTACTTACATTGGCTTTTTTCCAAGAACCCACATTATGGTATCGGCAATGTGTGCTGGGATGATGTTCACTAGATACACATGGATCTGATGCATCAACTTGGTGGTCTTGGCCGAGCCATCAGGATACCACAGTGGCGAGTTGAAGGGAAAGGAGCGTACCGACCTCTGTAAGTGTGCTGCTAGTGAATCACTCGTTAGGGGCTTTTGTGATCCCGTAGAACAGCAGAAGATTGGCACTGGTCTTGGCCTGAGAAAAAAGTTAATATAAATTGCTACTTCAATCATATTACAATGTTTAGGTAAAGCGAGTAAAGACCATATTTGATACATTCATAGGATTCTCTATCTCCAAAACACTACAAATCAATCACATTTTATCAGAATGCTGGTAATAAGATTACAAGATAAGGGATTTCATAGTCTTGTCCATTACATTTACTTTAAATATTTAATGCTCCTTAAACATCCTGTTGCTAAAATCTTGTTTAAAATAAAAAAAATAAAAAAAAAAAATAAAAAGTTCAATGTGGGGACTTTACAGGTCCCAGGCTGGACTAAACTTACCTCTGGGTTGAGGTAATTAGTTTTATTGGGAGGTATTGGGGGGTGGGGAGGGGGGGGTTATATACAGCAGTCCCCGTGGTGTAGTGGTAAGACACTCGCCTGGCATTTCGAGAGCACTTTAGCCTGGGTTTAAATCCTGGCCGAGGAGGATTTGCTGGGCTGTTCCTAACTGTAGCCCGTTTACCCAACAATAAATTGGGTACCTGGTTGTTAAACGATTTGGTGGGTCTTATTTCAGCGAATATTAGGATTAAGGACTTTCCTAAAATCCTATGCATGCTAGTGGCTGTACAAGAATGTAAGAACTCTTGCATTTATAAATAAAATATATAAAATAAATAAAAAATTCATTAGGCCAATATTGAGCACTTCTGCCCATTAAAGTCAAACTACTGACCCTCCTCAGGAGGGTCAGTAGTTCAACAGTTCCTGTTCAACCTGTTCTACTGTTCAACAGTTCAACAGTAGTGTCGTAGTTCCACGACAGTTCAACTCTCTGGTACCTATTTACTACTAGGTGAACAAAGGTATTAGGTGAAAGGAAACATGCCAATGATTTGTCCTGCCCAGGATTACCAATTTTGAGTATAGCACGAACCCAACAGTACTGATGATACCCTTTGCACCTATGCCTTCCTTTAATAGAATGCTTCCTCCTTTCCATCTTGCATCAAGCTTGTCCATAGAGGATAACCAACACCTTAGCGTCATAGGTGCCCTCAATTTCACCTTTTGGTGCAGGCAGGAAAGATTTATTGTTGTGCCTGTTAACGTATGGACACCATGAATATTAAAGTACCTGGTTCAAGGAGAGTTATTCTTCATCCGCTTTATGCCTGTAGTATCAGGTCCTAGATTCCTTCTAGGTGGCATATAATCCTTAATTCTCTTTAATAATAATTTTTATTCAGAAACCGTGTACAAGGAACACAAGAGGAAGAGAATCGTCAGGAACGTGTGTAACATGAATCCACCATTATGCCGGGTTTTTTTTTTTTTTAATGTGGCATTTGCAGATCAGCATCTGCATTTCATTAGCTATATAATGTTCTGATGAAGTGTTAATGTATTCCAGTGCTTTAATAGTACATCATCCAAATCAAAAATATCCTCACAAACTAACCATTATTTCTGTGTCACACAGTCATCAATGTTTTGTTTTATACTTTACTAGAGATCATTCACTGTAAAGTGATATTTGTTTAAAGAAATATTTAGTGGGGCATGATCAAATTTACTTACCCTCTATTCCCTTTTCTTGCTTAAGAAAAATTAAGAAAATGTGCCTAATCTTATTGGCAAAGTGGTTGTTCAGTAACAAAGAATGTCGGGTGTTCTGCTTATGTCATAACATTTGGTAGTTTTCCCAGGATAGAGCTAGTCATTTAGCTACCCCTTTTGGGCCTCAACCTAAATCTCCACTCTCCCTCTTGCTTTTAATTCCCCGTGTGTCTTTGTAGCCCACCTGCTTCCTTCACATTTTGTATTTTTTTTTTGTACAGGCTATGGTGTTCGTTATTTGAGGACAAGACCATAGCATTAGTTTTTGTTATCTTTGTCTATCGGAAATCACTTCAGTTAGCTACTTGCTCTCTGCCATTCTGGGTTTCTTTCTTCCAGGAAATGCTTTCGAGTGTCTAGTCAAAATTTCTTTCTCGATTGAGGAAAATTTATTTTGGAAGGCAAACTGATAAGATTACGTAAGGACTATGTACTCATTGAGCCGAACTGTTTTTGTCTATACCCCCAATACGACTCTGCCATGACAGTAGAGAAGGGAGAGGAAAAAAAAGAATCCCTGCTGGAGCAAAATGTCCAAGTCAGTACAGCTCGGCAATCAAGTATCTTTAATAGACTAGAAGGTTTTCCAGTAAATCATATAATATTTAAAAGTATAACAACTTCAACACTTATAATATTCTACTTCTGTAATTAACACTATATATATAAATTATGCCTCCAGTTTCACAAATGTATTAAAGCAATATTAAGCAATGATAGCTAACTATTTCCCTTCTGCAAGTAGAAATTCAACAAGGTTACTAGAAACAGGAAAACTGATTTATATACTAACTTGTATTTTCCAACAGCGGTGTTCCATGCTGAAACAATCATCAGGTTGATGGGCACATCAACGGGTATGAAGTCTAATGTTATTCCTGGTTTGATGTACAGGGATCTAAGAACTCCCTTACCCATCCCTACCAGCAAACCAGTAAATGCAAACAGGTTATCGACCCAACCAGGAACAGGTTCACGCCATGCTCCACATACTGAAATTTGAGAAAAGAAAAACAATATAAATACAAAAGATTAAAGTACAGATACATTAATATTTTTAACACATTTTCAAAGTACTGTAACAGTAATTTTGGGACCATTTCATAACTTACCAATAGAGGGTCTAATAATGGAAATGGGTAATCTTCCACCATCATTGACTAGGATATGCTCAGCCAAGGCTTTAGTGTATGTGTAGGTATTTGGGCGTGGAGACACTAAATGAGGTGTCAGCGATTCTAACAGTTTGTCATCGAGCCACTCTGTCAGTTGTATAAGGCGGGCAGGATCAATTGGTGCTGGGTACAGCTCCTCATAAACTTCGGGCAGGTGACAGTTGCTGTATGCAGTTGAAGTGTGCACCAGAGACTGAAAGAAAATGGGATATTTTTAACACTTTTTTTCCCCTTCTTTTGAATTATAATAATTCATTGTGTCGGGGACAGGTAGCTATAGCGTATATTACACGTTGTTCTTATACTGAGGTTCAACTCAAGGTCTAACCATTGGATGCAACACCACAACAAGCTGACTAACTCCTGCTAGGTGAACACGGACATTAGACAAGAAACTTTACCAACCATTTCTGTCACTTCTTAGATTCGAACCTGGAATTCCCGATTTCGAGTCTAGAACCAACTGTACTACTGAGACCCTATAGTTGAACACGAGGAAATGGCAGCAGCATGTAAAGGGTCGGGAATGAAATGGTAGAAAATTCCAATATTTTATATATATTCAGTGATTACCAATCAGGGCTTACCCCATCACTGATTACAGGGGAAGCGAGTTCTAACTCTTTATGCCCCGCCTCCTAGCTGTGCATACCTTACGTGCTACTAAGAAAAACAATTATTAAAAATGTTACTGTAGAGTTGTGGATGGAATTTGCTTCAAGAACCTCTTTTTTCAATGGATTCGACTTTCCAAATACGCATACAGGGAATGAAAACTTCCCAACATATCTTCGACCCAAATGCATGTCCATCTTCCACTTTGTCTTATTGCTTAGTGGCAGATGAAGTTTGAAATAAAGATGAAGTGAAATAAAGATGAAGTGAAATAATGAACTATGGAGGAATTTGACTTCTTAGCTCACTTGACAAAGTATAAGGCAGAACATGATTAACCAAGCAAGGAACAAGTTAAGTAGCCTACAGGGTTTGCAAGTTACATTTCACAATTGGTGCAGAGCTCTCCCTCCAGGCTTGAAGTGGCCTTATGCCTATGGACCAGAACTTGTTAAACTGTCTTGTCCCCTTCCAAAGAGCAGTATTTGCTCAAAGAAACCCTTCAAAAATCACTAAATTCCAAACAATCATCGACCATTCAATATTACTACGTCATTCTAAACTGTAAAGAACCAAAATCTAACCAAGTGTCACCATAAATCAGCCTAACAATCCATACTACCTAATGTTAACCAGACCACGCACTAGAAGGTGAAGGGACGACGACGTTTCGGTCCGTCCTGGACCATTCTCAAGTCGATTGTGACTCGAGACAATCGACTTGAGAATGGTCCAGGACGGACCGAAACGTCGTCGTCCCTTCACCTTCTTATATGTGGTCTGGTCAACATACTTTAGCCACGTTATTGTGACTTATCGCCTGCATACTACCTAATGGTCGTATGGATTGTTTGAGTCCAAGGGGGGGGGGGGGGTTATGGGAATTTCACTTTTTACCATTTTGGGCGAATGTAATGTTTGGCGACTCGCTTATGAATTCACTAAGGAAGTTATAGAGATGCCACTTAAGAATTGACAACGCTAAGCACACAGCGGCTGTTCAAAATAGACCTACTGTACAATTGTGTTAGTTTACATTACCACTGTATATTTTTACAAATAAATATTTCCATCAGACCTGATAAGTACATAAACATGGCGAAACATAATATAGGCCCCAAATGGAGGATTGTCACCTTACTAAAAATGTTGTAACTTTCAGTTCCTAATCTTTTCTGTTCATCATCATGTTTTTATTTATCAGACTCGTACAATTCCTATACCAGAAGAGGAAAATACAGAGAAACTATTACTCACCACCAATTTCTTCATTTTTGTCGCCAGACTCACAACACGCTTAGTCCCCAGCATGTTCATGTTCACCGCTACCCGCATGGGCTCCTGGGGGACAATTTCAATTTGCTCAATAATGTATAGGTACACTATTATTTTGGACACCATTGAAATAAAAAAATTAAATGGTTGACAGGTGCTTTGACATTTCGAAATGGTTGTGTGAAATTAGATATGAAAAGAGTTAAGATTACCAACGCAATTATAGACACTACTGTATATGCGTAAGGAAACATTTTGGGTTTACTGTACCGTATATTATTAAAGATTACGTTTAAGTAATTGTAGCTAATGTATCTTGTGTAGAAAATTTGTAGAATATTTATAAATAGTAATGTTAATAGTTTTAAGACTTTCGTGAAACATTTTGTAATTATGTAGCCATTTATGTATTGTAACTATATAAATAGAATGTAACCGGTTTAAATTTTTTAATAACTTCATTTTCATGGGTAATTTGAAGGCTAGTAAGTGTGATTAGCCACACAAAAATTAAGCTTTTAATTTATGTAGCTTTAGATAAATGATCAAGGAACTTTAATGTCTAAGGACATGCACAATACAGTACCATGTGCTTATGTAAGTGATAAAATAGCAAACCAATAATTGTGGAAAGAAGCACGTTTGCAATACAAGGGCAATAATTACAATATTTGGGGGTTTATCACATCACGTGGTGGTGTTATGCAAGACTTTACTGTACAGATGGTGAGAAATATTTAAAACTAACTAGGTAAACAAACAAAGATGACGGGTGTATGCAAAAAAAGAATTGATAAGGCTAAATAGATGAACCTTTATGGCATATGGAAGACTGTCAACTACTCTTGTCATAGTCTATGAAAGTAGATTTTGTTAATGCAAGGGGAAAGGGCGCAAGGCTGACAAGTACCGTATATAAATCAGAAAATGGAAACAAGTGTCCGTAGTCATTGTAGATACTTGTGGATTATAGTGTTATATAGTTATACAGGTTTATTATCTGTTTCTAATAGGACATGGGCAGTCTCAATCTAGTGATCTTTTATGTCATTATACCGTGTACTTGGTACCGTGTACTTGGTACCGTGTACTTGGTACCGTGTACTTGGTACCGTGTACTAGATCTAAATTATATGGGTGAGTAATGAGTGAGCCGGACATGCAAATTAACACTTTTTTACTAGGAAAGTCCAGAATTCAAATTTATTCAGGGTTTTACAAAATCTCAGTAGCCTGAATTTTTATTTAGATGTTGAGAAGTCAAGAACTAATTAATTTATTCAGATTTCTCATTCAGTATAACATTAAATCCAAATTTGTATTCGGGTTAAAAATAAAAATTTAACACCAACATGAATTGGTCTAGATTACAGATATTTGAGTTACTGTACCAGAAGCCAAATAATCAAACCTCTTACAGCACATGAAGGTTTAAATGAACAGTTCCAAGTGATGGATTAATTTAATGCTGTAATCACTAATCTAGACAAGAGTACCAAGAGTACCGTATGTTGATTTACAAGCCATTTTAATCATTACAAAATTCTTCCCCTGTGGAATTAACAAAATTTTAAAAAATGGTACAAGATATGAACGGGTAATGGGGTACAAGGCATGAACGGGTAATGGGGTACAAGGCATGAACGGGTAATGGGGTACAAGGCATGAACGGGTAATGGGGTACAAGGCATGAACGGGTAATGGGGTACAAGGCATGAACGGGTAATGGGGTACAAGGCATGAACGGGTAATGGGGTACAAGGCATGAACGGGTAATGGGGTACAAGGCATGAACGGGTAATGGGGTACAAGGCATGAACTGGTAATGGGGTACAAGGTATGAACTGGTAATGGGGTACAAGGTATGAACTGGTAATGGGGTACAAGGTATGAACTGGTAATGGGGTACAAGGTATGAACTGGTAATGGGGTACAAGGTATGAACTGGTAATGGGGTACAAGGCATGAACGGGTAATGGGGTACAAGGCATGAACGGGTAATGGGGTACAAGGCATGAACGGGTAATGGGGTACAAGGCATGAACGGGTAATGGGGTACAAGGCATGAACGGGTAATGGGGTACAAGGTATGAACTGACCGTAAAGTTAATAGTTGCAGCAGCATGGAAGATGACCTCCACCTCGTTGACCAGCCTGGCCTCGTCCTCGTCACTGAGGCCGAGGCCCTCCATCGTGATGTCTCCCTTCACAGCAAACACCTTCTGGATTACTTCTGGCTGTAATTCCTTTATTTTATCATACAGCTGAAAAAAAATTAAATTATATATAAATTTTACTGCAATGTGGAATCAAAAGATATATATTGATATTCAAAATGCCACAAAACAGGTAATTTATGACAGGACAAATTTTGCAAAATATTAAAAATGGCAAAAGTCTCCCAGCATAGAATGTAACAAGTGTTACGTGAAGATAAATGAGCAATGCACCAAAGAAAATACAACAAATGCAAAAACAAACGTGATAAACTATTCTCTATTTTCAAATATAAATTCCAACACTGAATGAAGACAATCCATGCGTGCACCATCTATACCAAGAGTTTTCCCATCACCAGAGGCATTTATATCACAACCACAACCACCTATACAGTACCTTCCACCAACAGCTACATCCAACCACAGTCATACCATTATACCACATCTTGTCCAGCTACCTATTCCACTAACTACAGCTCCACCTATGTTACATCATTTATACCACAACATACACCACACGTTTGTTCAAGGCCAACAGGTAACCATTAGTCAAACAACAGGAACGCCACTACATAATTCATGATACCATCACAGGAGTCTACCAATATTTCCTGTACAACACCAAACATCAGGGAAGACCCCACTAATAATGTACAGGAAGAGTGTCAGGAAGGTGGAGTGCATTATCTACCAAAATTATGATCCCATATACTCGTGTGCAAGGAAATCTTCATATACTGTACTTCAGCAGTTTACTATTTATTTACCCCGAGGGCCACCATCCATCTTGAGGCCTCTACTAAGCTACTAGATCAGTCGAACCACTAGGAAGCCTGGTCAGAAACCGGGCCGCGGGGACGTCGATCCTCGGAACCACTACAAGTTAGGCAAGACGGGAAGCCAGCGGCTTGTTATTGGTCTTTCCCAACCCCTTTTTTTCTCCCGAGGCTTTTATCCGACAATATTTTTTTTCTTTTTTACTGGCAAGCTTTGGTACACGAAGTGTACTGCTATCCTATTCTATAGGAGGGATAGCAATATAGATCAAGATCATGTAATCTTGAAAAACCATATGATGAGCCTAGTCTACATATACGTACTAGCCACTAGCAAACCCTGACAAGAATATCTTCCAATATCCTCGAGCGAATGAAAAAGAGCTGAAAATATTTCATGCAATTTGATCTAAAAATCTTTAATAACTGCATTCATCGATACACTATCATGGAGAAATTAAGGGGATACACGCAATATTGTATGGACACAGGAGAGTGGGGAGGGGAAAGGCAGAGGCTAATCTCAGATCTAAGTGTTACAGGCTTCCTTGTATCGACTCATTCGTTGTTACAGTTCCCCAAAGTCCAAGACCACTCAATTTTTAAACAAATTTTGTAGCAAAGCTTTGTCCTGCCTTTTCATCGAATCACGCTAAAACTAATTAAATATAACAAAAGTTGCTAATATGTAAACAAGATTTTGGACTTTGTTTCATATACAAAACACTAAAATACGTGCCAAATCTTCCATAGGATTCAATCACTTCCTAATTTTAATACTGAACTTTACTATTATGGATTATGTATAGTACTTTTATACTCTTACTCATTACGACACGTTTATCCCTTTACAACGGACACCCGAAACAAAGCATGATACTGTGCATCTATGACCTTGTACACCTCTGTAAACTTTGAGGTGTCGGTACATATCTAGAGTGTGTAATCCAAGCAAATATTAGATACCGCAACTTCGGTACCAAACACAAATCACAATAGCGTGATACATCATATGAACAAATCCACCAGGCGTGTCTGGGATCATCCCGGACGTAGGTTCGAACCCTCATCACGGCGCTTGTGGATTTGTTCATTCGGTACAAAGTTAAAACCGTTGGCAACATTTAGTTATGAGTCAGTTTTCTACAGCAGTTGGAAGGCCAAGCAGGAATGCAGGCTGTGTAAAGCTGGGAGCTCACTACATTAGGTGGAAGCAATATATATAATATCTGTAAACTAATACTGTGGTTAAATGGCTGGGATTAAGAAAATGCCATACCATCTGGGGGTCAGGTAGATGCTTCACGTGACCCGTGGTTAGGAACATTAAAACACGGCAATATTGATGCTTGTTGAGGTTAATTATTATTGATTCCGTCAGGTCAGGTCAGGTCAGGTCACTGGTCAGGTCACTGGTCAGGTCACTGGTCAGGTCACTGGTCAAGGTTCTGACTCTTTCCTCAAGGGCTAATCCACTGCATTTTTTACGAAACTTAATTAATTAATAAAATAAATTTAGATTTTCGAGGGGAGAAAAATCTAGGAAACTATCACAATTACGATCAAGAGTAAAAGCTGTATAGATTACATAGAAGTATTGTCCAACAGCTGCTGGTGTCTATATGACGTTTTCGCCAGAATTCTAAACTAAGCTTAGCTGGCAAAGATTGTTTTGCTACACAGACACTACATTCATATTTTGTAATACATGTTCGATAATCTGAATAAGAAATTTAATTTTACTGATAGACTATGTTATTTAGGCTTAATTTTACCCTTGCTCAGCAAGGATAACAAAATAGGCTATGCAAATTTTACTTTGGTTCTGTGGCAGTAAATTATTCAAATTTAACACTTTCATTAAACAATATATTTAACAAATCACTGGATAAAATTAAAGAATCAAATTTCATCTGTGTTAAGCAACTATGCAAGTTGAGCCTACGGCGGATAAGCAAGCTCATCTATAGGATTGGGAGGGGAAAAATATCAAAGGATAAGGAAGAAGAGCCCAGTTCCAGTAAAGCTGTGTGCTATATACAGCAGCCAGGTGCTAAAGGAAAGACTCATTTAAAGAAAATCAAAAGGACAATGAGAGAAAACGTAGAAGGGTTATTTACAACAGACAATATCTAATAGACTATATAGTGGGTTGGGGAAGGGAGGTGGGCGGGGCATGAGGCTGCGCTACACTTACCGTGGTTTCATTGGTGCGGGATCTGCCCAGCGAGGAGACAGATGCCTCTTGCGGGGCCTACAACAATGATACACTGGTTAGCTTGGCATGCACCGGTATACTCGCACGTGAGAAATGGGGGTACAAGGCAGGGATGACCCACCAAACATGTGGTGATGGACACCGGGTTAGCCGCTACCTGCAGCAGCACATGTGGGGTCTAGCGGTCTTAGTAGGTTGAGCACCATTACCATACAAGGTGGGAACAGACTCGGCCGGGAAGTAGTCACGGGAGGGGGAATAATTACTGTTGTGAAGCATGAGTAAAAACATCTTAATATATTTGAAAGTAAATGCAATCAATTGAGGGGGGAGGGTTAGGAGAGCATTACACAACCACTCGGCCAAAGGGCAACAGGCTGTTAAAGAGAAATTATGGGAAAACACGCAATTGTGATTGAGAAAAGTATAGTAGGAGGGGGAAGAGGCACAGGATAATTTCAGTTTTAAAGTGTTAGACTTTCATATATCGACTTTGCAAATGTCTTACAGCTTCCTAAAGTTTAAGACCACTAAATGTTTAAGCAAATTATATAAAAAAGCTTTGTCCTGCTTTTTCACATCCACGATAACTAGTTAAATATAATAAATTATAAATATGTAAGAAGACGGGCAGTGTACAACTTAATTATCCAAGAATTTAGCAAAAGTAACTAGTTTTGGGCTTTCATAGTGTACTTTTTGAATATGAATGTGCATCGTCTTCCATGGGGTTTGTTCACTTCTCAATTTTAACTCAACCCTTTACGACTGTTAAGGAGTACAGTACTCTTATTATTACACGTGTACTCCTTTACAATGAACACTGGAAACACACAAAACCTTCAGAATACTGCACATTATATGCAAAGGCGAAACAAAACAAGAATTACAAGAAGTCAACCACTTTGAAAAGTGTTGAAGGGAAGATTGTTTAAACGTAATAAGAGGACGGACAGGCAGGCAGGAGGCCAGGCTGCCTCAAGAGGACAAAAACAGGAGACCTTGTCCTAGATACACAAGGCTGCCACGCACCACCTGCAAGGGCAGCCATCACTTGCAACACCGCACACATACCTCGTCCCTACGGCGGAAGTGCGACCTGTGATGGTCCGCTTACTGTTGACTCAACAGCGTCTCTGTGGTGTACTGGGAGAAAGTGACAAAGTATGCCACCAGAACAGCAAATAGGAACCAAATTTACGCAAATGAAGTAAAAGAAAAAGAATAATATTAAGGAGTCCAGTATATACGATAGGTATACCCCCCCCCCAGTCCCTTGTATGAGGCACACACTGTTCCCAGATATTTTCACTGGTCACCCTAGATTGTCTTCATTAAAACACCCCTTCCCTTGTCTTTGGCCCGCCAGAGGTGCTGGTACTGTGTTGGTGACCTTGGAGCCAGGTTAATAGAGACGCCTCAGTGAGTGTCGTAGGCCGAGTCGTGCCATTACTCCAGACGTCCGTGCTTCAATCCCATCATTATATACAAGGTACAACGGGTTATTTGTTACAGTTTGGTAATTAAGCGTCATTCTCGCAGTCACTAAACCCAACAACAATTATGGAGGCGTTTGCTTAAGTTTTCAGATTCTTGTAATGACTTGCGACTAGCACCTTCCTTAGAATAACAATAGCTCGCTCTTCAGTCTGGCAAGTAAAAGTGATCCATCACTTGCCCCTCTCTCTTTAATCTGTTAACACAAACAAAAGACTACTCTGCTAAAAGTAAAGTTTTAACGCATTATCGTAGCGTGGAGAGTAGTGTGCATGGGTGCCCGCCCCATGGGGAGTGTTGGCCGGGCCTGGAGTGTGGGTCCCCGGCGCCGCCCGTGACCACAACACCCACTAACGAAGCGTCTAGTCATTATGCACATACCGGACAAGGGCAAGACTGGTGTACGTATTTGCCCTTTGCTTCTCAGGACAGTATGACGTAGTCTGTTATTATCCTAGTCGGCAGCAGTACCATAACTGCCACACCTGCATACCTACCTGGGCATCTACATGTGGCACACCCACTGCTCTTCACATTAACCAACGAGTACACGTTTAAACCGGATATATAGTGCCAGCTCGGGTCTTGCTGCTCGCCCGCCACTCATGTACATCCCGGCCGGCCCACAACCCAGGGTCCTGGGTTCACTTCCCGGACGGATCACACTTTTCGGCAGGCTTTCCCACCCAACGCCCCTTTCCGCGTGGCAGTAAATAGGTGCTGTGGAAATGGGTAATAATTGTGGGGTGCATTCAAGGAAAGGCCGGTGCTTGTCCTCCGACAATAGGAAGCCATTAATAAAAACATTACAACTATTTGCCAACTTAGTTAAATGAATTTTGGGGTTAAGTCCCCGAGCCCATTATGTGCCATAACCCTTGTCCACTACCGCCCACACGATGGGTATCGGGTGCATAATAAATGAACTAAAATATTCCCTTTTACATAAATTACACATTTCTTGCTAATGTTACGTAGATTGCTAATATTAGATTGTTGTTATAATTGAATAAAGATGCATGGGAATTGTCATAAGGTCAACTGGAGAAAAGGTCGGGGGGGGGGGGTGAAGCCATGATGAAACCTTCCTGTTATGTTATGTTATGTTATGAATGCTCGAGGTCTATATTGCTTTCAAACATTGTGAATTACGACATCCACTATTTCAAACAAGCGGTTGTCAGCATTGTTAAACAGCAATATGTATATACATTATATTTATACATTTTGTATGTGTAAATTTTAGCATTTAAAAATGTACAACTAAAGTATTGCCTATTATTAACCTTCGGTTACAAATACTGGTGTAAAAACTCTTGCCATTACGTCCTTTACCCGACACATTCACACTTGAAGGTTACTACAAGAACGTCAATAAGACGTCCAATTACCAGGGACATGCAGGCGCTAACCGCATTCATAACCAACCCGCCTAATAAGTTATGTCCAGTGCCGTCACAAACCTTCTCTAGATACTTTTTATTAACTAGTAACTCTGATACATTCCAGGGTTGTGGCACCAAGCGAGTGGTGCTTCCTCTCCCCACCTCTGGTTAACGATCACTCACCGTTACATACTATCACTCGACACCTGCTTCCTACAGTACCATCGTTTCCCCAACACAAAACAATCTATTACAGAGACTAGTAGTTTTAGAACTATAGCTCCACCTAAGTGAATAGTGCATTGTGTAAAATTAGGATCTTGAGCGAGGTGTTCACGGTGCTAGTGAGCTGTGTGTGTACTCACCTAGTTGTGCTTGCGGGGGGTTGAGCTCTGCTCTTTCGGCCCACATCAACTGTTACTAACTACTAATCGTTTTTTTCCACACCCCACACGGTTGAGAAGCGGGACCAAAGAGCCAGAGCTCAACCCCCGCAAGCACAAATAGGTGAGTAAACACTCCCCCAGGAAGCAGCCTGTAACAGCCGCCTAACTCCCAGGTACCTATTTACTGCTGGGTAACAGGGGGCATCTGGGGGTGAAAAAAAAAAACTGCTCATTTGTCTCTGCCGGCGCCGGGTATCGAACCCGGGGCCATAGGATGGCAAGTCCCGTGCGCTGTCTACTCAGCTACCAGACCCCCCAGGTGCAGGTGGAGTGTGTGGTGGGGGGAGTGTGAATGTGTGTTTATGAATTCTCTTGTCGTAAGGTCCTTGAACTAACGGGGTTCCCATAACCACAACTATGCTACATAACACAATGATATGTACCGTGGTCGTATCTCCATGATGCAAGTTAGTCAATGAGAAGGTGATATAGTCCAAGCTAACCATAGATATCCACCATCTAGAGTAATAACGTGATAATACACCTAACTTCTTCCTCGACCTCTTCCTCCTCACCTTTGCCACCATTCCTCTCAAGACGGCAAAATTGCTCTAAATTTAGCTTAAATGGCAAAATTAAACTAAAACCAATTTACTCTTAAGCATATATTCTTAGATAAGCAAGCAAGATTTAATTAAAGTAACAAACTCAACCCAATATAAACCCAAGCACGAGCCGTTGTTGACAAGCAAGAAGTCTCAATCGACACTACCCTGGAAGCTAACTCTAGTTCAACTGATCGAGAGTTGACTGCGATAATTTATTTTAAACCACTTAAACATGTGTGGTGGTTGTCACACACACACACACACACACACACACACACACACACGGACGATGCTAAAATTATGAGAAGGATTAAAACAGAAGAGGACTGTTTGAGGCTTCAAGAAGACCTAGACAAGCTGAAGGAATGGTCGAACAAATGGTTGTTAGAGTTTAACCCAACCAAATGTAATGTAATGAAGATAGGTGTAGGGAGCAGGAGGCCAGATACAAGGTATCATCTGGGAGAGGAAATTTTTCAGGAGTCAGAGAAGGAAAAAGACTTGGGGGTTGATATCACGCCAGACCTGTCTCCTGCAGCACATATCAAGCGGATAACATCAGCGGCATATGCCAGGCTGGCCAACATACGAACGGCATTCAGAAACTTGTGTAAAGAATCATTCAGAACTTTGTATACCACATATGTCAGGCCAATCCTGGAGTATGCAGCCCCAGCATGGAGTCCATATCTAGTCAAGGATAAGACTAAACTGGAAAAGGTTCAAAGGTTTGCCACCAGACTAGTACCCGAGCTGAGAGGTATGAGCTACGAGGAGAGACTACGGGAATTAAACCTCACTTCGTTGGAAGACAGAAGAGTTAGGGGGGACATGATCACCACATTCAAGATTCTGAAGGGGATTGATAGGGTAGATAAAGACAGTCTATTTAACACAAGGGGAACACGCACAAGGGGACACAGGTGGAAACTGAGTGCCCAAATGAGGCACAGAGATATTAGAAAGAACTTTTTAGTGTCAGAGTGGTTGACAAATGGAATGCATTAGGAAGTGATGTGGTGGAGGCTGACTCCATACACAGTTTCAAGTGTAGATATGACAGAGCCCGATAGGCTCATGAATCTGTACACCTGTTGATTGACGGTTGAGAGGCGGGACCAAAGAGCCAGAGCTCAACCCCCGCAAACACAACTAGGTGA